TTTTACCAGTTTCTGTAGTAGGAAAAGTGTATATTAGCTTGACATTTAACATTCAACCTGTTTCTGTAGTGATCAATCTTCTTTATCAACGTTTAACCAGTTTTGTGCAGTAGAAAAGTTTCTCTACCACCGTGACATTACACGTTGAACCAGTTTGAGTAGTAGAAAAGCCGTTCTATCTGCATGACATTACACATTCGATCAGATTTTATCGTAGAAAAGTTTCTCTATCACCATAACATAACGCGTTCAACCAGTATATGAAGTAGAAAAGTTCCCTATCACCGTGACATTACACCTTTCACCAGTTTCTGTTATCAAAAAGTCACTCTATCAGCGTGACATTACACATTTTACCAGTTTCTGTAGTAGAAAAAGTGTATATTAGCTTGACATTTAACATTCAACCTGTTTCTGTAGTGATCAATCTTCTTTATCAACGTTTAACCAGTTTGTGTCCTAGGAAGGATTCTCTGTCAGCGTGACATTACACATTTTGCCAGTTTCTGTATTAGACAAGTTTCCCTATCGCTTTGACATTACAGGTTTTACCAGTTTCTGTGGCAGAAAAGCCGCACTATCTGCGTTCATATACAGTTTACCAGTATTTGAAGAAGAAAACCTGTCGTAACAGCCTGACACGTTTAACCAGTTTGTGTCTTAGGAAAGTTTCTCTATCAGCGTGACATTACACATGTTATCAGTAGCTGTTGTAGCCAAAAATTCTATCACCGTGACATTGCACATTTCACCAGTTACTGAAGTAGAAAAAGTCTATTTCAAATTGACATTTAACATTCAACCTGATTCTGTAGTGGTAAATCTTCTTTACCAGTGTGACATTACAAATATTTCCTGTTTCTGTAGTAGAATATCATCTCTATCAGCATGACATTACAAATATTACCTGTTTCTGTAGTAGAATATCATCTCTATCACCGTGACATTACAAATATTACCTGTTTCTGTAGTAGAATATCATCTCTATCACCGTGACATTACAAATATTACCTGTTTCTGTAGTAGAATATCATCTCTATCACCGTGACATTACAAATATTACCTGTTTCTGTAGTAGAATATCATCTCTATCACCGTGACATTACAAATATTACCTGTTTCTGTAGTAGAATATCATCTCTATCACCGTGACATTACAAATATTACCTGTTTCTGTAGTAGAATATCATCTCTATCACCGTGACATTACAAATATTACCTGTTTCTGTAGTAGAATATCATCTCTATCACCGTGACATTACAAATATTACCTGTTTCTGTAGTAGAATATCATCTCTATCACCGTGACATTACAAATATTACCTGTTTCTGTAGTAGAATATCATCTCTATCACCGTGACATTACAAATATTACCTGTTTCTGTAGTAGAATATCATCTCTATCACCGTGACATTACAAATATTACCTGTTTCTGTAGTAGAATATCATCTCTATCACCGTGACATTACAAATATTACCTGTTTCTGTAGTAGAATATCATCTCTATCACCGTGACATTACAAATATTACCTGTTTCTGTAGTAGAATATCATCTCTATCAGCATGACATTACAAATATTACCTGTTTCTGTAGTAGAATATCATCTCTATCACCATGACATTACAAATATTACCTGTTTCTGTAGTAGAATATCGTCTCTATCACCATGACATTACAAATATTACCTGTTTCTGTAGTAGAATATCGTCTCTATCACCATGACATTACAAATATTACCTGTTTCTGTAGTAGAATATCATCTCTATCGGTAGTAGATAGAAACACTGCTTTCTGACAGTGAACCTTTTCAGAGGTGTTTATGCATAACTTCTTACTAACGTTTGACTACATAAACTGACTTCAGTGCATGTTTCTTAGAACGTTATATTTTAAGTCGCTGTAGCACATAAAATGGAAGAAACAGATTTAAATTAATGAATGAACTTGTTGCTTCCTACACAGTTCATTGGGATACCGCAGACCAAATCTCATAGATAACTTATCTTGTTAATGACCCTTCCACAGCTGAATCAGAAATATGCGATTTCTGCTAATCATAGCAGGTCACTATTCCCAAGCACTGGATAGGCGTTTCCCATATGACGATGAGGATTGATGACGTAATTCCAAGTCTTATTTAAGGTAAGATAATCTAGATTGTGATGCAAATCCAGCGTCTTGAGATCTAAACAAGATTGTCAAGGCTAATATATTCAAGAATGACTTTCTTAATTGGTATGCTGATGGACACAAATAAGATACACACGTTGATACTGTCATCTGTAATACAATTCATTGGCGCTGGTAATACTAAAGCAAAATGCTTGCTGAAGATTTGAAAGTTAGTGAATAATAGCCCACAATCCGATGTTTACAGTCAGTGTTAATTGCTAAAACAAATCCTTCATAAAAACAACAACCCGTTTACTCTCACATTTTCTCTGAACGTGAAAATTCCAATAAATTTTAAAACGAAGTGTTTGTAGATGCTTTAAATCCTAGGAAAGAAAAATCACTATTTATCCAAAGAAATTCAATAAATTTATTTCAAGTTGCGATTAATTGAATTCATTTTTCATTCATGCATTCTGTACTTTAGAATATGAGATGACAAATGATTTTTCCGCCTTAACTTAAACACTTGTAAATCTAAAATGCATCGAACGCCAGGTGCGTAGGATATACCTATGTAACCCCTTTGAAGTTCTACTGAAATTTTCACTTGATACTTAGGTCACAGTGTAAAGAAAACATCTCCTGAATGACCAAAGGAAAGATGTATCATGTTTTCAATGCAGGAGGTGGGCGAGTGAAAAATCGTTGTGCTTCTCAATTCATTCTATAGAAACATAGTATAAAACCATGTATTAAACGACACGTTAAACCAATATTTCATCTGACCATATAATTTTTACGAGTGATTAAATGCATTGTTATCAGAACTACTTTTCTTCATGTAGAATATAATGGGTGCTCACATTTCAACGCATTCTTTTCTACACATGGCACGCACAACTTTCTCGAGATTTGATACAAGGTAATAAATATTTCAATCACACGCAGAACAAAATTGAGGATGTATCTTATCACGAACCCTTCACGAAAACAAATATCATGTATATACTAATATGAGGTTGTTTTAAAGCAATAATTGATACATGGAACATATCTATTCTTGATAGATAAAATGTATATCTCTAAGCTTATATCTAGCTTGATTTATAAGACAGGAAGAAATGATTTAACAATTATATTATTTAAAAGATAATATGTTAACCTGAATTCAACGTACAAGACAATAAGAGCGATTTGTTATTTGAAGATATACGGTAAGATATCATGAAACAAAGACTTAATCATGGTATCTAGTGATATTTTACATTGATATTGAAAGAGGTAAAAGGATAATTGCGTATCTTTATTCTATACTATATTATATTTGTGTTTTCTCCTTTTCTTGTTTGAGAGAATTTTCTAAACCAAAATCGATATTTTAACGTTTCGAAATCCTCAATATTGTTGATTAAATGTCCACCCATAATTCACATCTACTACACACGTTTCGCATTATGTCAAAGATCAATTGTCCTCAGTCCTGTTAACGTTGGACAAAAATAGCAAAATATCATCCCCGCGAAAATAATCGACTATACAGTATTTTATCTACCATCATTGCACCAATATTTAACGTATATTTAGTACAAATAACTCGAAAGTGTGACTCAGAATTAAAGAAATATAGAGTTGGACCATAAAATCTCATCGCTCATAACTATGAATGTATATTTCTACATTAGTTTTCCAATGAATTATGTATATCCCCCAAAATAACAAACACGAAACAAAACCAAAAATTAAAAACAAAATAAACAAGCACACGAAAACAAATACATATCTAATAAATAAATATATAACTAAGTAAGTAAATAAAGAAAAGTACAATGTGAGAAGAGTTTGAGTGAATCGTGAATATGTTATTGAAATGTTTGTGAAATTAATGCACATATAGGTGCAGTACATACATATTATGATGATAAGTGTATGAACGATAAGTGACAGTGCGGTAAATGTGTGTTGAATAAGAGCCCCTCCCCCACCTATGTGAGGTCAAGTGTTTTGAATTGTCAGTCCCCAAATTACTTAAATAATATTATTGAATCTGACCGACCATGGGATAGTTGGTTCCGTTTTCAATGTTTAAAAGATAACACATACATAATCAAATATAGACTTAGGACAAGCAACGCAGTGACCTAGTGTCGTTTACATAAAGACTCTGCCACATGTGCCATACAGTAGTATTTACATGGAGATAATCACTATTTATAACAAAAATATTATGTAAAAAAAAAAAAAAAAAACATGAAACGCAGCATTGATCAAAGAGAAATCACTATCTCAATCATCTTAATGAGATTTAATAAGCCTTATAATATTTCACCCTGTGATCAGCACGTGCTGTGGATGATTTTGAACAATAGCCCATACTGTGCCAGTAGTCTAAGTGTTTCATTTGAAATAATTCATTACATCGCATACTTAACGAATCAAAACCATACAGGTTTCATATTAACGTTTCTAAAATCAATGCACCATTAACAAAAATCAATATATATAAGTTTAAGTGTCTCTTGACAAACCATCTTTTGTTTAGAATTAAACGAGCTTTTGAAAACCATAATTATAAACTGACTGCGTGTAGGATTATTTTTGTCGCACTAAATAACATTGGTCATCCGTTTAACGAGCCTGTCTATCGTTGACATTGATAAAGTGATTGCATATACATGCATGGAGATATACAAAACAGCGTTAAAGATCGGACGAGTATCGTGATTTCTATCTAGATATTAAATAGTATGCAATCTAACTTAATAAGATCTCAAATCGCCAATGAATTAAATAGATATGTATATATGTATGAATGTGTGGTTTAAGTCTACTGCAGTCTACAGTTCATGTTGATACCATACAGCAAAAAGCATTAGCCAAATAGAAATGGGGAAAAAGTTTTTCATATTTTTTGTATTGCTTTCGTGTTTTGAAGTTGTAGATTCCGCGGCTTCCACAACACAGAAAGATATTTACAATGCCATAATCTCCGGTTATACAAAGGAAGTTCGTCCTGTTTCTACAACCAACAGTGTCCTGAATATAGGAGTCATGGGCTATTTGTTAGCAATTAATGACTTCGACGAAGTTGCTGGTACACTTGAAACCGTCCTTGTTTTAGGATTACAATGGACAGATGAGGCTTTAACTTGGTCCGTAGCAAACTACAATAATGTTGCATACATAATTATCCCACAATCCAAAATTTGGGCACCAGAACTCTTCAATGTGAAATCTGCGGATACTTTTGTACCGATCGGCAGTGGAAGTTTCAAAGTGAGTGTAATGTATAATGGAGATGTTCAAATGATGCCAGGTGGTATTATGAAAATTAAATGCTCGCCTGATGTTGCCAAATTTCCATTTGATGTTCAAACCTGCTCTCTTGAAATTCTTCCGTGGATGTATATGTCAAATGATATTGTCCTTAGTGCTACTGCTTCTGAACTCGATTTTACATACTTCGAACTAAATGGGGAATGGACAGTGATGGCTAGTGGAATTAAAGCTGTACTGAAAAATGGCTATCCTTTTCTAACTATCAGCATAACTCTGAAAAGGCTACCATTATATCATATTGTGAACACTTTAATTCCGGTCTATTTTCTTGGTTTCCTCAACCCGCTTGTCTTCATCATGCCCTGTGACAGTGGAGAGCGGTCCGGATTTACTTTGACAATGCTTCTTTCATACACTGTATTTATGATGGTGATAAATGCATCCTTGCCTCAAACGTCCAGCCCGATGGCTATACTCTCATTCGTGACCTTTGGTGCGCTTGTCTTTAGCGGTTTTATCACTATTTTAAACAATTTCCAGCTGAGAATGTATCACAGAGACGAAAACATTCTTGTCCCAAACTGGCTTGTGAAACTGTCAAGAACTTTAGCCTGTGTCAGTAAGAGAAAGGTGAACCCGGGTATCACTGCTATCGAAGAGCATGATGAAACGTCTGGTTCGGGATTTAACAAAGACGAAGATACAGTTACCTGGAAACGTGTGGTTGACGTATTAGATATATTTTATCTTAAGGTAATATACATTACTTTTACCATTGGTACTATTGTTGCAACAATTTACCTTATATCCACATAGGTCAGCATATGGGGTCATTTTTAATGCAAATGGAGTTTTGATAATTATCCGCATTCAAAATATGCTCCATTGTATCAGTAACAGTCGCTCGACAATTATTTGTTGCTTTCCTAGAAAGAAGATAAGCTTTCCATTTTTTTTCATTTTGTTTTATTTAGTTCCTTTCTCTGAACATTAATTATGCTTTAACCGTTTTTATTTGCGCAACATTACATGCATTGATGGAAAAGGGGCCAAATAACAAGAAATTGATTTTCTTTGATCAAAAATGTCTCCAAGATATATAAACTTGTAATTTGTCATATCTCTAAAATCAACAAGAAATTGTATTATGTATACATTGTATAATTATACAAAAATTATACACGTTTTTTGGAAAATCCCATATCTATATTTATTAGTTTTTATTAATGATCTGACATTATATTCATTTTTATATGGCAAGTACAAAATAAGATGAACATTTTTGTTATATTTTGTGGGTATTTCATGACAGGTATCGTAAAACAAAACAAAAATATTGGTATGATACACATACTCTGTACTTATATATCATTACTAATAGTAAAACAATTTTTCAGTCATTGAGCGTGAAATATCATAATTATGGTGTGATTAATTAATTAAACTGATCGGCTATTTAATTAAACAATCAATTAATTATTCAATTAAGTATAAAATATATGGCTGATTGGAAAACTGGATTAGCAGCATTTGATTAAAAACCCATCAAACAATTGTATTATCGTTTACATTCTTGTGATTTTGTTTTAATGATTAAACATTATGAGCTATGTAATGTTATAAATTAATGATTTCAGTAATTTGTATAATATAGAAATCGTAATGCGTGTATTCGTTTGTTTGCCTATTGGTTCTTTTGTTTTATACTTAGTTCTCATTTGAGAACGTGACATTACTTACTTGAATTGGCCAATATTTGCATGGTGAATGTCGTCGATGAAGCAGAAGACGCTTACTGTCCGGAACACTTGGTCTTATTCTCCTAGTACTTGTTGAGGAGACTCCGTGTGATTCTTTTTTTTTTTCGTGTTTTGTCCCATTTTTATTCTTAGTTTTGATTATATAATGTTTTTCATTGGTTGGTATTTTCTTGTTTTTTTTGTTTTTCTGTTTATCTAAGCGAAAAAATCTGTTTATCTTTAATGTTATCTCCAGTTTTTGTAAAATATAATGATGCATAATTCTTTTGACAGAAAACCAGATAATCCTAAATATTCATTAGCAGTTATAAAGTATATATAGCTGACCAATCAAAACCACTCATTCTATTAGTATCATTGGAAACCACTTTTTATGTGGCGCGATGTTTGTGAAAATTTATGTTTAACGAAAATACCTTGCAGTTATCATTTATCTGTCCTTTTTGTCAGGATATAAACAAGATGTCATTACAGGTAGTATATCTATTCATATCAGTTTGTACCGATACTTTAAATGCATGGTATAGTTATAGTTATAGATACATTATGTCTTCTGATTCTTCCATATAGGTATTTTTTATCTGCTAAACATACAATTTATACTTATGCACGACCTCCTAACCAGATGAAGCGCTATTTATTTGAGGATATGAAGATATTCATCACAAATAAATATAGATTAGAAGGTCAACATGTCATTATAGAAACCGGAACCGATTATCAATATCATAAACGATTTTTCTCTTTGTCTGCATTAAAAAAATTCAACGGCTGAAGGACAAAAATCACATTTATTCTTTATCGTGCTCATTCAGGACAACCGGTTCAAATCGGAACAACAAAATCACTAGGTCTTTTAAAACCTAGTGCATCTAGATTTTAAAAATTCTTTCGTTTTGCATTTTTTTCAGTCACCTCCTAAGTTTAAATTTTAGGCTCTTAACATCACTGGTGAGTCCTAGAAAGGTGAAACAGTTGTATGATGCAGTTTAATTCCTTATCTGATTCTTCTGTGTCTTTACATTTTATTATTTGGTGCTGCTCACGTGAGTCTGTAGTACAGTCTTACAGATGCTACCGTCAAAAGTATTCCTTGATGTCTAGTAAATAGAGTTATTTCCCCTATTCCAATAACAGTGTTGTGGAAAAGGATCTTTGGATGCACATTGTGTTGACGTTATCTTTGTCGAGTTGGCCATCACGACACGCTCGATTATGTCAACTCGTCCCGAAGGTGATGTGCGACGGTGCGTTACAATATCGAGTGTAGTTTGCACCCGGTCATACCTGAGAATAGACGTGTTTTCCACGCTCTCGGTGTGATTGCAAACTATATCATACAGACCTGTTCTGTACTACATATTTACGCATCATTCTCCTTATATCTATATACCCTTAAAACAACAGTATAGTTTTTAATGGCATTTTCGATTATATCACTATAATCGTCTTTTTATTGGCATTGTACTTCTACACATTTTTATTGATCATATTACGTGTAAAGTGTTCAAGTAGTAGAACACATATGTATGGGAGGAACTTATCAAGGTATATATACTTTTGTTCTAATTTTGAATTTTAGATGACTTTCAAAAAAAAAAAAAAAAAACCCCACAAATTCAAAAAATGACAATAACAACAAAATTATCAATGCTTCAATTTATCACGAACGTCTTGTTATTCTTGTGTTTTTTTGTTTTGTTTTTGTTTGTTTGTTTTTTTTTTTTTTTTTGTGTTTTTTTTCGTATTACACATGTGTTATATAACGTATGGTTACGCCATGTTTGGATAAATTACATCACACTCACAAGTTGTATCGTGAAGTAACAATTATGTAACAATGAGGACTGAACATTAAGAGTGGAAATTAAATCAGTGTTTATGTGGAAATGTCCATTTTCTACAGTATTTACCTTACGTATCGATCATGTGATAAAATTGATTGAATATTCGTTTCTTAAATAATACACAGTCGAACCTCGTTATTTCAAACTCGACGGGACCATGGGAAAACTTCGAAATTGCCGAGTATTCGATTTAAGTGTGTTCAATTGTTTTTGTATTGTTAAAATGGGACCAATGAAATGGTTCGAGTTAATCGAGGCCTTTGAGTTCGTGATAACGAGGTTCTGCTTTATTTGATGAACTATCTCTGATTAACTCTTATGCAATGAAATTAAGATAGTGCCAGACTAAAATCATATATCGTTTTAAATTGTACAAGAAATAACATTACTGAGAATTGTATCTATTTCGGCTGCGTCCATGTATTATTTGTAATGTCCAGTATAATAATGTACACACACACCGGGCTTAATTTACTCACTTAAAGAACCATGACTCGCCTGCAGTCAGTTCCTAACACCACATAATAGTCTGAAAAATTACTTTTTGTAATCTTAATGTTGTGGGATGATATTCTCTCGCTAAGATCTATCAATGAATACTTGATGAATGAACAGAGATCAGAGGTCTAAACATACACGATATGAAAACAATACATATTTAAATCCGTAGACCATGAGCACTATAGAAAATTCTAGTTTACGCGGCCATTCTGATAGAGCATTGATAAACTCAATGACCTTTACGTTTATAAACAAAATCAATTGTCATCAGTAACTATCCGTCCCATCAAAATCCTGACATATCAGTTAATCTGCATGATATACAGGACAGTCAAAACACGTTTTTATAGAAATCTATACGTCATAGTCTTTTATTTTAGATCCGCACCATGTTGAAATAATCGCAATATCTCATTTATTCAATATTATCAATTTATCACATGTAATTACATAACCAATAGATACTCATTGTCAATGTAAACAGGATCCCCACGACAGTTTGAGCTTTCAAATTAAAAAAGAAAAATATCCTTGCTTATGTAATATAATATATTATTGATTATATGAAAATATACTACAAGTTCAAACTTTTATAGTATAAAGATGGTAAATGATTTACATAGAGATAAGTCATTGCCTTAAACTTTTTTGTATAGTAATGGTCATGGCTTCACAATATAGTATGCACTGTTGTCTTTGATAAACATTTATAGTGTGAAGATGGTAAATAAGTTCTACAAAATATATCATTAACTCAAACGTTTATTGTATAAAGATGGTAAATGAGTTTGATAAAAATATATCATCTACTTAAACATTTATTGTATAAAGATGGTTAATGAGTTTGATAAAAGATATATCGTCTACTCAAACATTTATTGTATAAAGATGGTTAATGAGTTTGATAAAAGATATATCGTCTACTCAAACATTTATTGTATAAAGATGGTAAATTATTGAGATGAAAATACACCACTGACTCAACTTTTTTGTGTAAATATGGTAAATGAGGTGTATGAAACATGTATCATTGTCTCTTTTTTAGAAATAATGGTCAACGCTTCACAATATAGTGCGCACTGATGTATTTGATAATTGGCACGTTTTGAGACATAAAGACAAATGGCGTAAGACACTGTTATTTTTCGAGAGAACATATTTTTGTTATCGGAAATGGTTTCGTTTTTTGACAAAAATGTATATAAAATGAAATAAAGATATAGAAAACTAGACTTCGCGATTTTCGTTAAGAATCACGTATGATTTACTTTGAGTTTTTTTTTTATAAAACCACAATTGAAAAAGCCCGTTAATTGTACATGTAATTGATAAGAAAATGGCGAAATGTCCTGCTTTGCTGTCGTTATAGTTTATATGTGTTAAGTTGTTAAGCTTGCATGCAAATGACTCAGTCACAAAAGTAGTAAAGATATTTGTTTGAACTTCGAAGTCTAATCTATCTCTTTAACACGTAGTATGAATAAGAAAATACTAGGTGAATGAATATAAGTTATTTGATATAATCATTCGAACAGGTAGATCTTTTTTCTTATACTAAACAACATAGATCCTATGTCTATCAAGCGTAACGATCAGTGATCAGGTCGACTATGTACTGACGTATGGACGTAAACAAAACACCTATAAAGATGGAACGGATACCAGGATTCGTATCAATGAGGTGACAATAGACGCTCAAAGAGTATACCTTAAATTAATTTCAAATCATTTCCGAACCCAGTCAAGCTAATTTTCAAAAGGACAGAAATATTTCGTCCATTTACCCCTTCATAAGGAAAGAATTAATAGACTTCAAATGAATTCTCAAATTTTGAAAGTATTTCTATTACTTTTGTGGGTTCAAGAGGCGGATTTTGCTGCTTCAACAGTTCAGAAGGATATTTACAATGCCATAATATCTGGTTATACAAAAGAAGTTCATCCAATGTCCACATCAGGCGATGCGTTAAATATATCGATCTCGGGATATCTGATTGCTATCAACAACTTTGATGAAGTTTCTGGTACTCTTGAAATAGTGGTGGTTTTGTCAATGCAGTGGGTGGATGAAGCTTTGGTTTGGGACCTTGCAAGTAATAGCTACATGGGCGCTATTACTATCCCTCAATCTAAAATCTGGGCACCGGAACTCTTTAACGTAAAAGCTGCAGATTCCTTCGAAGCCATCGGAGGCGGAAATTTCAAAGTAACTGTGGCATATAATGGATATGTTTACATGTCTCCTGGTGGAATAATGAAAGTCAAATGCACGCCTGATGTAACTAAATTTCCGTTTGATGTTCAGAACTGTTACATGGAGATTCTCCCTTGGATGTATACTGCCAATGATATAGTCCTGTCTGCAACTGCTTCACAACTCGATTTGACATATTATGAAGCAAATGGTGAATGGACTGTAATGGAAACTAGATTGAAATCAGAAAGGAAAGGCGACTATTTTGCTTTTGTTGTCAGCCTTAAAATGAAGAGAATTCCACTCTATCACATAGTGAACACGGTAATTCCAATGTATTTCCTTGGCTTTCTCAACCCACTCGTCTTCATCTTGCCATGTGACTGTGGAGAGCGGTCCGGATACACTTTAACTATGCTTCTTTCATACACAGTTTTTATGATGGTCATCAACGCTGCTTTACCTCAGACATCAAATCCAATGGCAGCACTCTCATTCGTGACCTTTGGAGCTCTTGTATTTAGCGGTATCATAACAGTTTTGAATTGCTTTCAACTACGAATGTTTCACAGAGACGAAATTATTCCCGTACCACTTTGGCTTGTAAAGTTCATCTCCTGTCTCTCCTGTGTTGGCAGGAAGAAGGTGACACCAGATATTGTTACGGATGGGGAAATTCAAGGAGGTTCTATTTCCAATCATGTCATTACATGGAAAACCGTTGTTGAAGTATTGGACATATTTTATATAAGTGTAATATATATTACAGGCGTCATTGGTACAATAGCCGCAACAGTTTACTTAACATCATCTTAGGGACATATTTGGTGCAGTCATCCGTGTTGGTCATTTGTAAGTATTTTTATATTTTTACAGCCACAAAAGAATATCAAACCACAGTTATGAATGAAAATGACCACCAAACCATCAATCAGTTCACGAATCATTCTCATCACTCTAAAGTACAAAAAACAACATTTCTAGATATAAATTCTAATAAAGTGTACTTCCAGTATTTCAAATCCAGAATCAACTACCACAAAAACTCTATTTGTTTTCTTGATTTTTATTGTTAATGTCGACATTCAAGACAATCAACAGCAGAAATACTCTACATATAGATTATCGCATATATATCAATATGGCATGAAGCCCGCTGTCTATATATTTCTATTTCTAAGATTAGTTAACTTTATTTTTACTTGATTCAAAAATATTATATTATTAGGTGAAAATTAGTACAGAAAGAATAGCTTTCAGCAAGACTAAGCTGCGAGATCACTCTGGTTGTCAAAACAACACACCACAATAAGAAATATAGCCCGTTTGCTCAAGATCACGGTTGACGGTGTAGTGATGCGGCTACACCAGCCGATTGGAACCGGTTCGGCTAATCAGTGTGTTACGAAGTGAACGCAAAATCTATGAAACACGTTCTTTGTCAGAAGTCCAGCGTTAGTGTAAATTCCACAACAAAATATCATCTGAACTTATTTCATCCACACCAATTCATAGCTTTCATAGCCTTATATATAGTAGGTAGCAGCGTAACTGTAAATATACTTAAATGATCGTCCTTTGATCGTGCATTTACCAGTGTTGATCAGCAGTACTAATCTATGGAATAACTTGTTCTTAACCTGAGTCATTATTTAGTTGACCAAAATGTGTTAATGTATTGTTTGTTATCCAATGGAACACTTTTGTCAAGAACATGATATAAGACAAAGATTAAGCTTCCTTAACCATCAATTAAAATTGATGTATCATTGGTATAGTGGATAATTAAAGTTTGGGTTTATTAAGTCAGTTGCGTTTGTTACTTATATTTTTTCATGCTCAATAAACCTTATGATAAGATTTTTCCAGTTCAAATCATCGTACCTAATCGTAAGAAAAATTGGTTTTCAAACAGTTTTAAAACCACATAACACTTTAAAGGTGACGCCGCCAAATATCATTTCTCGTTTTTCCTGTTGGAACGCCTGGTTTTATTCTTCGGGTACATTTTCAGGAGTCTCAATGTAGTTTTTCATTTATTCAAATTCTGTCCTGAATTGTTTGAATTCTCCTCAAAAACATGTATAATATATAAAACGGATAATTATGAATTAGCCGTACACTTTTACGGTATAACACGACATGTATCAGTGTCAAACCATGATGCCGTCCTTCTCTATGGGGACAAAAACTCCTGATTTTGGTTTTCCGTCATTGCTCGTTAGTCATTAATTTAAAACGCAACTACGATATGCAAAACTGGGACTATCAAAATGTCAAGTTATCTAGATATGTATTCAGATTTTGTGTTACGCGTAGCTGACAGTATAATCTATGGACGTTTTGACACAGCATAGTTATGAAAGATATGGCTGGTGCAGTAGCCGCTGTGACTACCACAACTATGTGTTGCTATACTGAGGCTAGAAGGTTGTTGTTTATACTTACAATCATCATTGATTCTTAATTGCTACATATGAAATTAATCATAAAAAAGAAGGTTCTAATTCTTCTTGCTGCAGGCATATGGTAACTTGGAATACTGTAAAGTCATTCATTGCTGTGGTGGTTTCATTTTCGTTGAATTCACGGGTACTCAAAATACACAAATGTATATGTCCATGAACTACAGATAAAATTTGATATGGATTATAGTGGTTTCTGTGAACCAGATTTATAGAAGAAATCAAGTGCCAACTAAAATGAACATTTTTGGGAAAACACTAAATTTGAAAATATATTATTTTGCTGTCAGCCAAAATAGCATTTACAATACATAGCAAGTATCATTGTACATATTGGTGACTTCATAGTTATCATTTTGTTTGTTTTTTGTTTGTTTTTCGCTTAAAATATCCCAACATCCCATCAGATTATCTATTAGAAAGTTGAATACCAGACCAATCCGTCTCCAGTCATGATTAACCTGTAACACTCCAGAACAAAGCTAGATGGTAATGGCGCATGTCTAGACTGGTTTCTCTAAGGAAAGGTTCTGTCTTTATCAAAAATAATTATTTCGGACAAATTCGCTCCCTCTTGGACTCGAGATGAATTCGTGTCTTCTTGTTATGGGGGAAATGCTTTTAATCTTGAGGCTTGGTGTCGAAATGGCTCTACCGGTGTTCTCCAAAGCACCCAAACTCATATCCATTACGTAGAATATTGAGAAATTGTATTCATTCTGTATGCAAACTTGACATCTTGGTTATTCAGAAAGCTTATGACGAAGATAAATTTTCACTCTTTATTTCTTAGCGATGTTTATTCCGTGATGGTCGGAGTGACTGATCGCTACTGTCTGGGCATTGTATATGGTTTGTAAGGGAGGTTTAGATACACAAGTGAATAACATATTGCCATACATATTTAGAATTAAACACAATAGAACCATATAATGAACTTAATGGATTCATTGAGCTCTTTCGTCCATTCTTGGACTCTTCAATGATGCTAATAACCGAAAGGCGACCAAGTTTAGATTGTAATTTTCAAATTATTAAAAGGAAAGTGTTTAATTACATAATGAATCGTTGTTTATTTTATTATTTATTTTTTCCGTCCTCTTAATAGCCAATTTTACACGAAGACGGTGTCCTTGTATGATACACGCCGCTATTAATCAAACTCGTTCCAAAAACCTTAGTTTGTACAGAACATGCGTGAAAATATCAATTTAGTAGGAGCTACTACAAAGTAAGAAATTAAGATCACTCATTGTTTTCTTTCTGCAAACAGACCTCTCAAACGAATGAAATGAGTAGTGAAGCATCGTTTGGTTTATTTAGAATAACTTTTTATCTCGTTTGCAATGTTGTTTTTATGTTGGCGTCAATGGCGAAATGCAAAAGAGATAAAAATGAAATCGATCTTGAAACTAAAATTGTATATAAAGTGTTGTAAACAAAACCCAAAGGCGTGTCTTTATATCGTTATTTTAACTATCGGCGTGTGATACATATGTCTACATTTTAGGTGTTATGGCAAATTGAGAGCTTTATAATGTAACAGTAGAGTTCATATTGCTTCTATTCACGAGAATGATATCTAAGCAAACCATTGGCTTAAGAATGTTTCGGTCAGTGATCGCAGAATGTTTCTTCTTTCTTAGAGGGGCAAGCTACGAAGGCCAAGGATCAGAGAAGTGTATTACCATGTAAGACGTAAAGGAAAAGAAAACAGAAATTCCAAAATATTCCAATGAGGGAATGATTTTCTTATGGTGTTCCATTTTATATCAAACATCCAAAGCACACAAACAACTCCTCAATTTAGCGACAGATTCATGTATAAAGTCGTATACCGGGTACTAGATACCACAGGTAATAGTCGCGTAGGTTCTCTTCTCAATTATAGGGACTTCAGGGCAAGGCTCAGGATAGGGATGGAATGGCTTATCTGCTTGTTTGTTTCCTAGCTATTGTCACTGTGAGGCGGGGTCTCCATGTAGAAGCTGGTGATTGCCTACTTGAACAAAGTACAAGAGGACCACCACACGCATGTTATCCAAAGCAATTGGAATTCAAAAGTGTTTTGCTCCATAAAAAAAGCCATGACACTGGAGAATATCCTGATATCAGGTCGTTTAGAGTTACTATTATTGACTGAAAGTAGAGCAAATTATCAGCAGCCTTTTTCGGATGTTTGAGTTGTCTGACACTAAACTAGCAGAATAGTAGTTATTTATTTTTGAAATACCTCCTGTCATATTTTATCACGGACCATTTCGATCATAGCTTAGCATGGGGCATTTGAAATCTGATTTCTTGATGTCCAAACAGATAAGAATTGTGTCATAATGTGATAACGTGCGACTAGTTTTATTACGCCTCAGTGAATGTATTGAAATCCTCTCTGTACTAAATACAAGCATGGTCCAAGGTACAGAACTATTAACATGTTTCATATCGCTAAGAAGGATTATAAGATACGTTTAGGATGGACATTGGATTTTATACTGTTATCTTAGTGACCATTGTCCATGTATGTAGTGATCAAATATAGAAACATGTGACCAATCTACATGATACGATATTTGCTGGCTATAATCCAGATATTCGTCCAATAATACACAAAGCGACGCCATTAATGTGAATGTTGCATTTCAGTTATTCAATATTGATGATTATAATTCTGTTTCTGGTGTATGGAGTCTAGTAGCAGCTCCAAACATCGTGTGGAAAGACGACATTCTCACGTGGACGCCATCTTCGTATGGCGGAATTCAATCTCTTGTTGTGAACCAAACAAAAATATGGCGTCCAAACTTGTATAATGTGATTGTGGCCGAACAGTTTCGACCGATTAGTAATGACCACTTCCGGGCGACGATCTTCAATGAGGAACAATACATTGGAAACCGGCAGGTCTTCTGAAAGTCAAATGTCGAACAGATGTGAAAAAATTTCCCTTTGGTTCACAGACATGCTCAGTCGATTTGACACCCTGGGGTTATGACGTCACTGAGGTTTTACCGGCTGCAAGTAACAAGAATATAGGCTTGAGTTATTACGACACTAGTGGAGAGTATGCCATTGAGTCGACTTCTGCTGTAGCGTCAACAGAGGCATCAATTAGCTTCGTCCAATTCAAACTGACATTTTCTAGAATTCCTCTGTCCCACGTGATCAATACCATACTTCCGGTTTCTCAGCATGGTCAATGCCAGCTTACCCAGTATTTATGATCCGGTAGCCGTCCTTTCGTAGTATTTTGTCCATGATCATAAGTTCAGGTATAGCGGCTCTCACGTTATTTCAACTTTATTTCTACAAAAAAAAAAAAAAAAAACCGGAAAACGACCCGATACCGAAGTATCTCTTGGCTATTTTTAAACGCTTACAACATAAACGTCGATGTGCAAGTTGTAAAAATAGAACAGTTGCGAGCGATGAACAGACAGACACGATAAAGACAGAACAAACATTCGGACAGGATACTCCAGACGAGAAACCCCAGTGGTAAAAACGTACGATAAATTATTTCTCATATATTTTTATATTATAATCGCTATTTTTTGTGCCGATATCCTTAATACACATTGGAACGAAAAGAGGAAATTATATTTGTTTTTCGAAAAGCTTTCACGAAAAATGTCATATGCGTTGTGGCGTTAGGATCCATCTTCTCGAGTTTTTTAAAACTTGTTCTTAAAGGACTTTCGTATTTCAAATGCAATCAATATCATTTGTAAACAAATCTAGTTTTGACATTGATGTAACCTAAGTCTATTGTTTTTTTTTCGGGTAGTTGGGTTACAGATTAATGAAACCTGAGATCCCGCTTTTATATCGTGCTTACGGTGACGTTTGTATTCCAAAGGGTACAGATAAAGGCGTGAAAGTTGTCATAATACGATAAATTAACTGCGATTAATTACCAAAGTACATTTCAAGAGCAAAATAATTACAAAGTGCCACCTTCAATAGCCTATCGTATTTAATAGCAGAGTTTTGTTCATTATACGTGTCCGTGACTCGAAACAAATCGAGATCGTATCATGTACTTTGGCCCGGGGCACAATAATTGAAGGAATATCATTTCATACAAAACAATGCGACCACTCAAGAATGATTTCTCACAGCCAATCAAGGTCAACGTGACATTGGAACTGATTACAGTAGATTGTTGCAGTTCCATGAATGAAATTCTCTCCCTTGGTGTGATACTTTATATTAAATGGATAGACGAAATTCTCACGTGGACGCCGGCAACATACGGGGGTTTGACCTACTTAATTGTAGGCCAGTCTAAAATATGGCTTCCGGAACTCTATAACACAAAATTGACCGAAAAAATTAACCAGTCAGCGAGGATCACTATAAAGCACAAGTGACGTACGAAGGCGAAGATTCGTGGAGACCAGGAGGCTTGCTGAAGGTCAAATATGACCCGGATGTGTCGAACTTTCCATTTGATGAACAGTCGTGTGACGTCATTCTGACCCCTTGGGGCTACGATCAGGCAAAGGTTGTGTTGCAGTTGTATGCAAATGACATGGAAAAGTTACTTGGAGAAAAATGGTGAATGGACAGTGAAAAGTGTTTTAAAACTCGGCATAACCATCAAACGGAAGTCGACATTTCATGGCTTTAATACGATCGCCTCTTTGGTGATTCTGTAAATATTCAATCCCCTTGTGTTTATTTTACCACCGCAGTCAGTAGAGCGTAACGATTTTATTGACATTCATTGTTTTGCTAACAGATGTTACAAAAGTTCTACCACCACATTCCAAGTCCATTGCAATCCAGAACTAAACCGTGGTACTGACGTTGTGTTTAAGTAGTTTATGTGTATTATTGATGATAATTCAACTGCATGTTTATCACAAAACTAACGAGTTTCTGGTCCCGAGGAATCTCGTTCGATTCGTGAGGTATATTAATGTTGTCAAACTGCATGTAAACATATGTCAAGTGAAATAGAAATCCACGTGATTGACGCATCAGTTGATGATACTAATATGATGTGGTAAGAAGTGGCCATTTTTCTGGATAGGGTCTACATAACTATTGGTTATATAATGATAATTTTCTTAATCTTGACAGTTCTGATTTATATGACTGCATCATGACGCCATAGTATCTCGACGTCATCATACTATATTTAGTGGGACGACAAATGAAAGCTTATTCGATTTGATATAATTCTTTATCCGTCAATCCCGGTTATTAAACTAACTTGTATAAGACTATACATACTGTAGTGTTTTCAAGATTTATTGCGTCCACAAACTCCCCAGAAGGAGGTAAAAGACTACAACAGCTTAAACAGAAAAGAATACAACCAGATGTACAGAAAGAGATATCAATTAACATTATCTAACATAATCCTAGCTCACCTTTTAGGTTTACTGAATTCTCAGAACTTTGATTTTAGTTGACTAGATATTCAACACAAATAACAGACAATAAAATACCTGAGTATACAAATAATAACAACCTTTATCCTCAACTGCACCAATGAAGTATCAATAACAGAATATTCAATTTATATACTATATCTAAAAACGACAATTCGGCCACTGAGATAATGCTTGGACGAGTTGACTTATTGTAGCTTTGACTTGAATAGTAAATACTAAATCAGTTTGCAATGTTATACTCACATCTATAGCATCTATAGTAAGCATAAATCAAGTAGTTAATTACACATTGATAGCTTACATGTAAATATATCTTGAACATGACTAGATTTGTAACACGAACCACGTGTTTACATCGCGAATGACGGACGATTGACAAATAGACCTTTCCTAACTTTACAAAACATTTTCCTGACTAGATCACAGTACCAATTTGACAATCAACGTTCAATTATTGAAGATTGACATGGGTGGGGAATAAACTCACCCTGTGGGGGACCTAAAATTTTCTCTGATTATTGTGTCGGAGCACGCCATGATAGACTTCCTGTTAAACTCCTTAGGGTACCACTAAATTCGTGATGCCCGGATCACAAGGGAGATAACTCAACAAGGTAACATGACACTCCCCTCCTGATATATTTATATCACTACTTAACGAATCAAAAAGATTGTTCACTTCTAGAAAACATAAGTACTGTCACCCAAGAGGGTGTCTGATCTCCACATACACTGCAGAATGTCAAAGTCAATCCGAACTGGTAAGGAACACAACTTCAGTCACCGGCCTAACAAAATACGAAAATTTTCCGTTCTTGACCATGCGAATTTCCACCTTTCGCACAAGTTCATCGTCACTTTTGAACACACGGTTCACAGGAGCAAGAGGCCACTCCATAAGTGAAACGGCACGATCTTTCATCAAGACAATGTCACCTTCCTTGAGATTTCTCTGCTGTTTTTGCTACTTGTTGCGCGACTGTAAGTTTGAGAAGTACTCATTCCGCCACTTCTTCCAAAATTCCTCAGCCAAAACCTGAACACATTTCCATTGATGCCGATATAAGTCCTTTTGACCGAAATGTTCGAAACTAAATGGAGGTTGATAGGAAGTCTTCTGAATGAGTAGTACTGATGTTGACAACACAGAAGGGTCTTCAGGATCTGTGGACACGGGTGTGATTGGCCTAGAATTGATGATACCTCTGCCATTAGAGTGGTAAGTATTTCATGAGTGAGAGTCCTACCTCTCATATCCAGTAGCATGGAGTCCAATATTCTGCGAGCCGTGCCTATCATGCGCTCCAACGCACCACCCATGTGGGAAGTGTGCGGGGGATTGAAGCGCCACACAGTGCCGTTCTCTAACAAGAAATTAGCAATTGTGGCTCATCCACGCCAATGGTGTGGTATCCCATGTTATCAGTGCACCCAACGAAGTTGGTCCCATTGTCGGAGCGAAATTCTCGCACCGTTCCGCGAAAAAAGATAAATCGCCGTAAAGAGTTTATGAAAGATGAAGAAGACATTTCTTCAATCACCAAGATATGCACTGCTCTGGATGCGAGGCAGGTAAAAAGCACTGCCCAGCGCTTAGATTGTGACGCACCTCCTCTAGTACGTCTGGTAGTGATGACCCAGGGTTCAAACACATCTACTCCTACGTAAGTGAACGGGGCTCTCGTATTTCTTCAGGATAGGCTTGCTGTTGTACGTCCCTGAGGTTAAAGATCCGAGATGTTTCGTGAAGGTCTGGGTTGACCGTTCTGGTCTGTGTAGCAGAAAGACCTTTCCTGATGATTGCAAAGGATTTCAAGCATGCAATGCCTCTTACCAAAGAGTTCCATGTAGAGAAACGTTTGCCACGCTCCTCTCCTATACATTGTGTTGCTGAACAAGAGGTTTTGAGAACCTTAATTTCTGGCCTAACTTCTGCGTCCACCGATGGCTGGACAAGATGATACTGACGGCAACCTTTGACTTCGTCTGATCCACCATCCTTTTCTAAAACACGTGATCCTTGTAGTCACATGCTTTCTTGCAGATCACAAGCATTTACACATCTAGTTCCTTCATCTGCGGGATTCCTTTCCGAGGAAACGTGACTCCACTGGGATGCCTTTGAGAATCTGAGTATTCTATTAACACTGTTGCCAAGGTAGACGTATAATCCGCGCACACGATTGTGCAAGTATCCCAACACAACCATACTATCAGTATAGAAGTGCATACTTCCAGGAGGAATGTCCAGCTGATCAGATATGGTACGACCAAGATCGGTGGCCAAGACAGCAGCGCATAGCTCAAGGCGCGGAATCGTATGACCATGTTGTGGTGCCACTTTTGCTTTTCCTAAGATGAAGCTCGCAATGAACTGATTGTCAGTGTCCTTGGTTCGGAGGAAGGCTACGGCTGCTACAGCATTCTTTGATGCATCCGAGAATATGTGTACTTCTTGTTCCGAATCCTTGTAAATAGTAACAGGAAAGTACTGTCTTGGGATAGAACAAGTGTGGAGTTGTTTGAGGGAACTGCACCATGACTCCCACTCTTGCCGTCGACCTTCAGGAAGGGTGTCATCCCACCCACCAGATGACTGATTAAGATCTCGGAAGAGCAATCTTCCTCGCAGAATCACAGGAGCTGCGAACCCAATAGGGTCAAAGATGCCATTGATAGTCGAAAGAAGGCCTCTCTTGGTATACGCCTTCCCAGTTATTCCGGTGCTAAAGACAAACGAATCTGATGCCAGATCCCAGTGTAATCCAAGGCTCCTTTGGACTGGTGGACAGTCCGTTGTAAGATCAAGATCTCTAATGTCTCCTGCCAAGTCATCACGATCAAAATTTTCCAGTACTTCTTGAGAATTGAAGGCAACCTTGTGAAGTCTTATCCCGCCATTTTTGCTCAAAGACTGTTGAGTTCTCTGAATGAGTGATACAGCCACAGCTACGTTTGGGGTCGAAGTCAGCCCATCGTCTACGTAGAAGTCCCTGGTCACAAAACTCTGAACATCCGCAGTGGAACTTTCTACTGCCTTTCTGAGTCCATAAATGGCAACAGCTGGAGATGGTGCGTTCCCGAAAACGTGAGCCGTCATACGATACTCAATCAATGGGTTTTCAAAGGCGTTGTTGGCATACCATAAAAATCTCAGAAAATTGCGGTGCTCCTGAATTACTTTAAAACAGTAGAACATCTATTCCACATCTGCCATGATAGCAACTTGGTCCTTTCGAAATCTGATTAAAACACCCAAAAGACTGTTTGTAAGATCTGGAGCAGTCAGTAGTACACTGTTCAGAGACAGGCCTCTTTCTTTTGCTGAAGAGTCAAATACACAGCGAATTTTATTTGGCTTTTTGGGGTGGTATACCCAAAAAGTGGAAGGTACCAAAACTCGTCTTCATGTTTCCTATCAGGTGCAACTTCAGCGTGTCCCTTTTCCAAAACTTTGGACATAAATTCTAACATGGGGGTCCTTTCGTAGACTAGAATCCAAGTTCATTGCTCGCCATAGACTTTGAGCTCTGTTGTCAGGTAACCGCGGACGGTCCGGTTTCAATGGAAGTGGTGCTTCCCATTGTCCATAATCATTTTTCCTAAATCCGTCGTCCATCATATTCAGAAATTCTTTGTCCTCCTTGGAGAATCCTGTTTTATTATCATTGGGGTCCTTGGCAAACAAAGGGAAGAGATTTCTTCAAGGGGTTTTCTCCTGACAGTTGAAGCAATTAGGACATGGCTCCATTGTCGAAGGACGACCATCAGCCAGGGTTTGTATTTTGTTTACAGTGAAATTGGATGACCTGTGAACCTTGCCAAGACACAACTCTCCAATTACGACCCATCCCATCTTGAGGCGTTACGCATAAGGTCCATTTACGGGCCCTATCCTTTGATCTAGTGCATGGTGTGCTGCAGGCAGATCACGTCCAATTAACATCAGGATATCCGCGTCGGAATCCAAAGGTTGAAGGTGTTGAGATATATCTTGCAGATGACGGTGGTAGTGGGCTGCCTCAGCTGTGGGACATTCATGACGGTTATTTGGGATGCCATCACACTCTAAAAGTACTGGAAGATCAAGAACGAACTCTCCATTCATTGACTCCATGACATATGCTTTGGCCTTTCTCCCAGTGGATGAAGTCTGGCCGGAACATGACATTATGGAACACTGTGTATTGACCGTTTTCACCAAACCTGTCGAAAAACTCTGTCCTAGCCAAGGACACGTTACTCTGGTCATCAATAACTGCATACAGACGAACAGTCTTTTCGGGTTGGCCCAGAGGGTATACCTTAACCAGAACAGTTTTTGCACATGATTTTCCAAGTCCCAATTATATATATATATTCAATTTCTTGACACAAAGTTACTTCTAAACAATTCCAAAATAAAACTAAAAGTTTGTGTTAATCTAAATAATCCATTAAGTTCATTATTCAATTCAATTACTAAGATAACATTGTTGATTAGTTTGTTATACACCGTTGACTGATTTTATTCAAATTAACATTAAAGTTCACAACCAACATTGTAGATCTGTATTCTTTAAATTCTATATGATACATCTCAATTTTATAATAAAGATCGTAGAAAAACTATTTAGTACTAAATTAAATAAATGAAAACTGTCTTACCTGAAGTGAAGAATCAACAGCAGATGTTAAATCTGATTATCTTTATTTGGCCGAGGTCAGGGTGTAGAGTGACCCTGGCCTACGCGACACATATATGTAATCTCTCTGTCCGCTTCTTCATCCAGGGGTATGAATAGGGAAAATTTAATAGAGAAAATAATAATAATCTACAAAATCCCTTTTTGGTGCCTCTTAGCCCTGTAGATAATGCAAAATCATTTTATCCAACAATTTACCTCAATAAAATGAAAATTGAGCAATAATTTCATTTTGGTCCCTTTTTTACGTTAAACAATAACAAGCATCGATGTTTGAAGTAATGACTTCAAATAAAGATTTTTATATAAAATGGTCTCTTTCATTGAATTTACCAGTCACAAATGATTTAAAAAGAAGAATAAAAGCTGCTACGGATAAACGCGAAATAAGCCTGTTCGCAAATATTTTGGCAGCTCTCCAAAATGTATAATGTATTTATTAGTACACGTCACGTATATTCATTTATTTTTACAAATGATTATAATATACCACTCTGACAATTAAAGAGTTATACAGTGTAAAACAGGTTTACATCGGTTTATGGCAGATCAGTCAAACAACGTAACAGATATTGAAGTTCCATTTCGGAAGGGTTGGAAATTGAGCTTGCGTCATCAATGCTTTTCTGTGGATACTCATAAACCAATGAATATTTATGGTTCTGTTCTGCATACTATGAGGCACAATTTGATTAGAGATCCATATCGCTCAGTGTCGGATCTCTATGGGAGACAAGATAAAAGACTTCCAGATATTTCAATCTGTATAGTTGTTTTCCAATAAATAAAACAGTTAAAGAATATTCGAATTTATCTATTATCATATCATTTTCTATTACCAGATGGCTTTTCCGACAAGTCTTCGAGCCGAGTGTCTGTTGATGCTGATCAACACTACTTTACAAACGGAAAGATTTTTTCGGTAATAATTCAAATGATTTTTTTCTATTATTCAATCTAGTTTTAAAGCCATTTCATTATGAAGTTCCGGTATATTTGATGTATTTGGAAGTACTGTTCAATATTTATGGCTAAGTGGTCACGGAGAAGTATACCCCTGAGACCAAAGACCCATGAGAGGGTCTTACTTTCAATAATCACTGTACTCTCTGGTTGGATGAGTGACAAATATAGATTATGTAGGATAGCCGCGGGGTTATTTTAATTCCTAGTAAATAATATATGTGTAGACTTCCGCTTTGGTTTCAAATTCCATCTGCAATTTCATAAGATAAAAGAAGAATGGAAATACGGATTTACATTAAATCCCTATCCCAACAGGTACGATGGGATTTATATCAACTGTTTTGATGAAATAATCAGACCCACACGCAAACCCTTGTACAGTCTTGCCCTTAGATAATTTATTTATATCCAATTTGAACGCGACCATTCTCTTGCAGAGCATCGGAGTCAGCGTTTGTTCCAGTAAGCGAAAGGACTAGGAAAGGAGCGCACTATTCACAGTCACGTAACATTTTACTGGTGTCACGATGTGTTTATGAACTTATGACGAGTAAAGTTGACATGTAATTCGCATTTGCTGGAAATTTCTGCAAAATGGGATAACGTTAGCTGTTGAAACAGCTATTAACTTCCACGCAGGAAACACGTGAATGCATTCGTGATAACGGATCCTCAGTTCGGATGTGTGAAAGTGCAAGAAATATCATCAGGAGATGGTATCATTATTTTTTTGTCGAATTGGTACCGATTCTATTGAAAGTATTTGCGACATATCTGAAAAAAGTTATATTGAAGTCCGGAAGTTGACTTGGCATATCTAACATTTAAACCTAAAGGCGTATTTAAAGTCCGGAAGTACATAATTGATTTTACCATTAAAACTAAGTCTGTGTCATTTGAACGGTTGATATATAATTCAACATGGAATCGTTCATGAGGCCACGGATACCGTCATCTCTAAACAGAACAGCGACAGACAAATCTCTTTATCGCAACGGAAGTCAAAGAAGTGTTCTCAAATCCACCATTACTCCCTTATTTGGGCATAAACTGTACCTATTTGGTTCCACTCAACGTTTGACATTGAAAACCATGGTGACGAAAGAGATTGCAAAAATATCGGGCGGTAGTTCGTCAGACGACAGTGCTCATCGTCCCTCTCATTTACCTCCCCTTCTTCTCCCCCCAGTCTATTGCTTGAAAACTCTTCCCTATCCACAAAAGCGGCGAGAACACGTATTCCCCACAAACAAAAGCGTCCAAATTACGGACGCCGAATGGCGGGAGCTGAAACTGTGTCGATATTTACGTCCTGGACTTGCGAAATTTTCCGTAGAAGTTGTATAAGCCAAGCCTTATATGGATATGAATTTCATCATGGATCATAACAAGGGTATGCTGAGGTAACTTCCGAAACTGATTATTCGTGTATATATCATAAGTTCTGATTAAATTGTCTATCATTTTCATTTATTGCATTCTGACATTAGACATTCGGTTGGATCTTGCTGTATTGTTTTGGTATTTTCCCCCAGTACGTCATTTGGATGATTTATTATCCGGATAAATGAAACTTGATTCCAGATAAATGAAATTTCATATTCTCAATTTTAGCATACGTTCACGAAGTTTATAACAATCGAAAACAAAAAGGTATGACAATGAAATGTTTATCTCAAAGTAAATAGTTGAAGCAAAATTTATCATGTACTTATCTATCAGTGTTGATCTAGTAAAATACAAACTATGTTAATTTTCATTGAAATATTTTAAAGGTGCATCATCAAAAGACGTGTTATTTATTTTGCTCTGCATTTGATTGAACAGTAGTTTTAAGCTTTCTTTATCTTCACAAGCCATGTGTGTGTTCAATACGATACTCGTCTATGCAAGACCGCAAGTGATCGTTACGCATGGAAGATCGAGATCTTTTCTGCTGTTTTACTAGCTGTTTACTAGCCACTACTGTGACAGTCACATCGATATGTATGATATGAATGCAGGGAGTGAAATGAATCTTTATGGGAATTAGAAGATAAAGTCGTTGAATAATAATGGGATAAGAAAAAAAAAAAAAAAAAAGAAAAGAAAAACATTGTATTTAAATGTAATTAAATATCAATCGCTTCCGTGTTATATGTATGGCTGAATGAAAATACAAGTTTTCGCAGTCACAATTCATTTTCAAAAATGTTACTGTGAATCTTATGAAACGAATAGTGTTATTTGAGTGGAAACTTCCAAATGAAATTTCTGCTAAATAATAATAAATAAGTAATACTACGTAACAAAGATATCTGTAGAATAAAGTATATGTATCAGGACATCAACCGTGATTTTCCAGAAAAGCAAATAATATCTGACAGACATCTAATTACCATTAGCTAAGGTCAATCCGGTTAAGTAAAATTCGGTTTAACGAGACTTTTGTATGAATTTTATGTCTACCACAATGGGTGTGAAGGAATAAATTAATAATTCCAATTGCTCTATAAACATACATATTATACCACACGTGGTGTAACGCTTTAGGCTGTTTTAATTGGCT